TATATATATATATATATACATTCAAACCTCAGAGTGCTTTTTTTTTTTTTTTTTTTTCTGGTTTAAATGTTCTCTTAAAATTGAAAATTTAACGTGCAACCTCCCTGTGGGCACCCCTGTTCTAATATAAGTTCAACACAATCGTGGCCTGGGACAGCTCCCAGTGAACCTGAGTTGGAAAAGATTAAATAGTAAACTCTGGAATTCTAAATTTTATTTTATTTTAATTGCTCATTACACAATAAACACTCATTTATTCTTTATAAATAGGACCACTTTATCTGCATGACAGCAGGCAAGAAATGTGTGTAAATTAAAACAAGATGTGTATTTTCGGTGATGATGGGGAGACCCAAAAACTGCCAAATCATTAAGTTTCGTGGTTAACTTTAGATTACATTTAGTTCTAAAAATGTATATACCGATTACGCGAAGTACAGATCCAAAAAATTAGGACAGATTTTTTTCCAACCCTAAGAATTATTACAGAGTGTCCTACTACAAATGAACATTTTAGTCGTCGTTTTAGAATTAAGGTTTGAGCATATTGTTCAGGGGTGCCCATCCCCCCGCCCCCCAAGGCCGATGGCGCTTGAACCTTCCCCTAAAATCTCTTAAATTCTCAAAATCAGTGCAAACGAAAGTAGAATTTGAATATTCGAAGGTTATATACCATTACACATCCAGTGGCCTGTTCCATGATTTGACTTGTCTTTTGAATTGAAACCTTTTCATTTTGAAAATTCATAACCGCGTCGAAATGTGCCCCCTCCCCTCAAAAATTAAAAACCCCGTAAAAAAGTGCTCCTCTCATTAATCGTCATGGAGCAACTTGCGCCATAAAACCCCCTTTTGTGCACCACTGCTACTGTTACCAAATGGCCAATATACGCTTAAACTGGTTCTAAGTTGTAAGACATGGCGCAGCACGATATCGATGCAGATTCTTCAAAACATATGTTGTTTAATATATTTAGTAAGAAGTATGTACATTTAGCGTGTCAGATACATCATATACCACACGAAGACGACGTTCACAAAAAAAATATAAAGTCTGAAACCCTAACAATGCCTATCTTACCGATTGAACCCGCTAGGTATGTACGTACTTCCGGCACGTAAGGTGTCTGAACATGTCTGCAACATGGGCTAGTATCTACAGTTTTGTTTTTCCAAATAAAACGGGGTTTTGCCACACAGTGCGTCGGGGTTTTCTAGAAGTAGAGAGAAATATTTAAAGTAGTGCAATTAGACAACAAGGACTACAAAAAAGTTCATATAAAGAATGGCCCAATTTTCAGCAGAAAGGTAGGAACTTTAAGTTTTGAGTTGTTTCGCTTGGTGTCACGTTTTTTGTTGAATAGGAAGCAATAAATAAAAAAATAATTTATTTAAGTAATGAACAATTGTTTCAGAGTAAAATAGACAGAATTGACTTAATATGGAAATTTTTTTTTTATTTATTTATTTATTAATGATATTTACAACTGTATTACAAGTAAAAATACATTCAGTAAATGTGTACAATAGAATATAATAACATGAAATCATTTGGTGAGAAACTACCCACTGGTAGCACTCTAAAAATATGGAAATAGAGTATGTCGTTGGTAAAACCATTTAATGAGGGCTTTTGAACTGCTAAACTAAGCTAAGTTCTGTCTTTTAAAAAATCATAAATTATTCGCGATTTTTTTTATCATTTTCCAACTATACTACAGATACTCCCCTTTAAAAAAAAATGTAAATTTAAAAAGTATAAATCAACGAACAATATTATTTAGTTATTATGTGAGTATATCGTTGAAGAGAGAATTTGTTGTAATATCTTTTTTTCTTTTTTTATTTATTGAGTATTAATACAGTCTGCCACACTGAATTGCATTGGTACTAGAGCTATAGTATTCATTCACACAATATGTACATAAGAAAGGAATATATATATATATATATATAAATAAATAAAAAGATAAAGTAATATACAAGATAATTAAAACAACAGATCAGCCGAATAATAACAGAAAAAATAAAACACATTCACACCTATGTACAATATTTACATTGGCCCAGGGGACTCCGAATCAAGCTTTGTCCCCCAACTGTGGAAGCCAAAGCAGGACTCTAGGAGATCCCAGTGCTTCTTCCCCAGCCGCGTCACTGGTATAGTAAGCTAGTGGAGGCTGATGGAGGGCACTAGAGCAACAGACGCTCAGGACATGAGTGAAGAATCTGGCCAGTGCCAGTACTCCAATATATACATTTTTGAAAAAAAAAAAAAAAAAAAAAAAAAAAAAAAAAAAAAATATATATATATATATATATATATATATATATATATATATGTATATATATATATATATATATATATATATATATATATATATATATAAAGATAAAATAATGACCAAATAAATAAAACACAAAATAAACAAAACACATTTGTAATTAACTATTTCTGTTATCAATGGATTCTCAGAGGCTATTGTTTTCCTAAAATATTTAGGTATGTTTGTTTTGGGATGAATTATTCAATTATGGGGAATTATAATTCTTGAAATATGGTTGGTATTTTTGTGTGTGAAGGATAGTTATTAATGATCCATTATGCATAAGGATTAGTTCGATTTTTAAAGTGGGTTTAAAAAAGTTTAACACCAAACGGGTGAGGCGTTTGTGAACTAAGATTGAATAATAAATTTTTAATGAATAAGTTTGTTTTGGGGGTTTAGTTTGTATTTTTGTTTAGATATGGAAAAAGGTTATAGATTTTTTTTTCTGAATCCGTAAGAGATATGTCGTTAGATAGTTTATTATAGATTGATTGATTACGTGACCACATGAAATAAACCAAGCTCACGAAATCAAGGAACTTTTTTTTTATGTATTCGTGAATTCATTTATTTATTAGTTTGGCCGTAAAATAATGCAGGATTTTATGTATACCTTTTGAATAACAAACTGTTCACGTTCGCGGGATTATTCTTTAGTATCATTGTCAATAGTTTTTAATCCTCTTTAAAAAAAAATGTTTCTTGTCTTCTATAACAGTTCACCAGTAAGAACTATTCCATTCTTTATTAACATTTCAAAGCGTTATATTCTCAAGATTTCGTTTCAGGCGTTCAAACATGGTCAGACAAGGGCCAAAAGGCCAACATAAGTATTTGATGATGATTTAAAAAATTTCGAGAAGGAGACTTCAGCCTTGAAGGCAAAGATGGTCGAGGAAGAACTTCTTTCTTAGATACTGATGTACTGCGAGCTTTGGTCGAAGAAAATACTAGAGCAACTATTCGAGAGTTTGCAGAGAAAGTTCTAAATCGACCATCGGTGACCACGACAACGCATTTGGAAAAAAACTTGAAACTTGGGTTTCTCGTGCATTAAACGACCGCCAAAAAAATGTTCGATATCAAGTCGGCGCTGCACTTGTTTGTCTGTTTGTTTGGGCTTGAAGGCGTAAAACCCTAGAGTCATCAACCCCTATGAGGCAGTTATTTTTGTTGTCTGTTGAGTTCAAAAACTTATTTGAAGAGAGGAAAAAAGGAATAAATAATCAAAAACTAATAATAATAGATAGAATAATAAATGAAAAATATTTAAAGACATGAGAAACTCTTAGTTACCAAATCGACCATCCCTGACCAAGTCAACGCATTTGGAAAAAAAACATGAAACTTGGGTTCCTCGTGAATTAAACGACCGCCAAAAAATATTCCTTATTAAGTTAGCGCTGCAGTTCTTTGTCAAAACAAAAACCCTTTCTATTCTCCAGGCCACTCTCCTACCAACTACCATTTCAAAAGGTACAAATTTCATCGATGAAAATTCGTCGAAAAATGCATTTTCAGAACTTTTTAATAGTAAATAAATAATTTAATATTCTTTCTTTAGGGAATGGAAAAGTCATTTTATTTTAAAGCCATAGACCTGCATCAATTTCAGGACAAAACAATATAAAAGGGAACAATAAAAAAGTCTCATAATTGTGGGTAAAGGGTTGACTGTCGTGGATAATGAAGAGAAGAATAGTTGGGGTGATTAGTCAAATAAGAAGGCAAAAATAAATGATACTATTTATTTTAACATTGGCCGATGTTTCGACCTGAAGTTCAGGCCTTCATCAGGGCTAAGAAAAGAACCAGATAACAAGGTATGAGGAACATAAGTAGTGTAGGTAAAAAAAAAATTAAAGTAAAATGCAGTTGTTAGAATAATGACAATAGTAAGAACTGAGAGAAAAATAATAATAACCGTTACAAAGTGTGGAATGATGAAGTAAACATAATCAAAAAAAGGTGACATAAGTATTAAAATGGGAATCTTAGAATAAAATGTAAAACAGAAAAAAGGAATATGGAGTTCTATAAGAAATGAAAATAAATAGTAAAATTAAGATATTGAGAATAGAATAGTTAGATAAAAAATTGAAAACTTTAAAATATCTCAATTTTCTATCTAACCATTCTATTCACAATATCTTAATTTTACTATTTATTTTCATTTCTTATATAACTCCATATTCCTTTTTTCTGTTTTACATTTTATTCTAAGATTCCCATTTTAATACTTATATCACCTTTTTTTGATTATGTTTACTTCATCATTCCACACTTTGTAACGGTTATTCTTATTTATCTCTTAGTTCTTACTATTGTCATAATTCTAACAACTGCATTTTACTTTAATTTTTTTTTACCTACACTACTTATGTTTCTCATACCTTGTTATCTGGTTCTTTTCTTAGCCCTGATGAAGGCCTGAACTTCAGGTCGAAACGTCTTCAAATGTCAAAATAAATAGTATCATTTATTTTTTCCTTCTTATTTGACTAATCACACCAACTATTCTTCTCTTCAACAAAAAAGTCTATTTAAAATTACATTTCTTGAAATTCAGTTGCTTAGTTCAGTTATAATTATATTTCACCGGTAAGTGGAGTCACATCACTTAAGAAAAATTATTTTTTAAGTAATCCATCAAAATTGTTTTAGGTTACGATGTCACTGATACTGTGGTTGAGTGTGGCAGTATTCATTTGCTGCGTTCACGCTTCGGCTGAGATTTGCTCCATTTGCAATTGCAAAGGTGGTATAGTGGATTGCTCAAAACAAGGATTAGAAAATCATTTTAATGACAGCTCTTGGTCAGGAATAATTCAAGTTGATTCCATCGTTTTGGACTTCAATAAGATCATCCATCTAAAGGCTTTTCCACTTCTTGGGACAACAAAATTGTCAATTAGGCATAATTATATAACCAAAATTGACGATGCTGCCTTTAGGTTCGTGACAAATTTGACGGAACTCGATTTGAGTTACAACCATTTGACTTCAGCAGCTTTCTCTCCACATATATTTAAGGTATATTTTAGCTATTATAGTATCGATATTAGTATATTTATGAGTGAATATATGATAAACTTAATCAAATTTAACTGAATTATTTATATTAGATATTAGATATTGTTTTCCGTATTAATAAAAATTATAATATTAATTTTCAATTATAATATTTCAGGGAAATTATTCACCACAGTACTATCAACCGCTGAATATCACTATTCTTCGTTTAAGCGGCAACATGATCCATTCTCTGAGAAACGATATATTTGAGCATTTGCCTAATCTCAGGGTTTTATCCATTGATTCTAATCCCCTTAAAACCATTGATACGTCAACAGCGATTGCCATTTCTTCAATTTACCATTTGGAAGTAAGTTTTTAATCTTTATCATCGTATAAATATAGATTTATTAATAGGAAACAATAGTTTTTTTCTTAGATACTGATATCAACATATGTGCCAGTATACTCTTGCATGTTATTAGATAACACGAAACTGATTCGTGTAAGTCATCCAGAAACAGTTATGTGTGTCGCCCAATTCTGCTACAACCTATTTACACATTCGCGTATTTCGTTAAGACACACAGAAAATGAAAAAAAGGGTCGCGTTTATGCGTAGCAACCGATTATCCTTATTTTATCAGAATTATATTTAATAGCATGTTGCTAATACCTATGTAATTATATACGATAGTTTAATTGTTCCAATTCATTGTAATAATGAATTTATAACAGAAATTAAGAATACACAATTCTAAATATAACTCAATATTTAGGAACATACAACTCAATTCTAAGGAACACACAAACCACAGGGAAGTGAAGTCGTTGAGAGAGTTGAGAGAGCTAGAAATTCCGTATCGCCCCTCTAATAATTCGAAGTAAAAAAAAAAAAATTAATATCAAATAAGCTACATGAATGAATAAAATATTTAAACTAAAATCGATTAAGAAAATACAAAAAATAGACCAGCTGGCTAAGCTAAGGCCTATAAGTAGATACGTAACTATTTTACCACGACCTAAATATTCCTATTATATAATTTTTCATTCATATTCAGGAATAATAATATAGAAACATATCCTTGGGTTTTTTTATTCATTTACCTTTCGTGTGGACAACTCCATTTTCACGTGGTTTTCATATAATTTTTTTATATAAAACACATGTGTTTATTGGTTAAACATGTGTTCGGAAAAAAAATTGAGAAAATACAAAATTGAATTATGGAGAATTCATCCTGTGCAACGGTATTAAAAAATATATGAAACCAGAAATTTAAAATAATAAAAATCATTTATGACGAAACATAAAAAACTTCTCAGTAAATAGCATCTTTTCCTTTCAGCGATCCAACCATTAATTAAATATATCAACATTATAATAAGGCCGAAGAAAACTGATCAGTATTTATACGTTTATTATATTTTACAGCTGTAAAGTACTCATAACTTATTCTCACAGGTACTTGATATATCCAGCGCCCAGTTGAAAAGTCTTCCACCAACGATGCTTCACGGTCCCATGTACCTTAAAGTACTGAATTTATCTAATAATTTCTTCACTGATGTTCCAAATACACTCGGTGAAGTGCATTCTCTTGAAGAGCTGGTTTTGGATGATAACCCCATTTCTGAGATAAAGTAAGTATACATTAACTTATCCCCACATACATTATTACAGTAAACCTCGAAATTGGTTTTGTACCAAATATAAGCTTCTGTCATACTCAAATACCATGAATGGAGTACAGTTGGATTCAGAATTTCACGGGGGTATGGCGAACCGTACTCTCCGCTTTTGTTTTTATTTCTAAAATAAATAAAGTCGATATAAACATTTTTCTAGGCTTCAATACTGGAACTGTGTTAAGTCTGTAAATCGATACGGAGCAAAGGGCTTCGAAGATTTTGATGCGTACACCAAGACCAGGACCTGCGTTTTTAAGCCCAAAAACGTACTATCCTCGAGATAATGCAAGGCAAAGGTTTAGCATCCACACAACCTTACTTATGTCGATTTGGGGTCCCTATGATCGAGAGAGGAGGAGTTTATATTGTTTATCAATTAGGTTTTTTTTTTGTCGGTAAGTTGTTTTAGTTTGTTGCCCAAAATTAGTCTTGGTCTTGCACTTTGCAAGACCAAGACCAAGGCCACCTAACTGTTGCAAGACCAAGACCAGGACTGATAGAAAAAATCGATTTTTTAAATAAAAATTAAGGCAAAATAGTTACTAATACTTAACAATCTTAGTTACTATATGTAAATAATAATAATTGGTATAACCAATATACTTTTACATTTAACTCCTCTAATCTTTCATTCGGGCTTAGTTATGTTTCTCCTATCTCAAAAATTACAGTATTATCTCTATACTAATAAGCTAATAAGTAACTGCAAGACTGTCACGAGACTCTTGCGCATGACCAAGACTGAGTTTGCAAAACCAAGACTCGTCTCGCTCTCGCATTTGGGCAAAACTAGTAAGCCATATCATCGTTAATAAGTATGTATTTCTACCTATATTAAGTGCCAGTTTGAGAGTTTTCGTTTTCATCAATGATAATCTTGATGTATTATCTCGAAACCATTATCAAATAATAAGATAGTATTTAAAAAAACAAACGGATTTTTCGAAAAAGTGTATTAGTTAAAGCATTGGCAGGTATTTCTGAAAAAAAAACCCGGATATTTTCTAATTAATGGGAAAGTAAATATATTTCACGTTATCGGAGCACTGGTAATAATGTAATATATAATAACACGAAGATTTCGACTTCTCAGAAGCTTTGGATTTAGTCAATCATAATAATCAAACTTCAAAGCCTACCCATATTGAATAGCGTTATAAAATGGTTCCTCTCCTTTTTATCCCATTGCTCCCAGGCAGTTGTTATTCCAAGCAAATCTCCTTCCTCATCCCTTCAATTAGCACGAGGTGTTCTTCCGGGCTCTTCACTCTCTCCGAACCTTTTTTTCACTTATATTAGCGACCTACCTGACTCCATTCATCACTCCCGATATCACTTATATGTAGACGATCTCCAAATTTACCTATCGTGCCAACTTTCTGAGATGGCTGAGGCTACCCGAAAACTGCAAGAAGATATTGACTGAATACACAGGTGGGCAGAAAAAATGAACTAAAGCTGAACGCAGACTAAATTAAGGCAATCCTCTTCGGGTCCAAGCACCTTATTAGTTCCCTTCCTTTCTCTCCTGTACTTTACCTCAGTAACCGTTCCATCCATTTTATTTTAAAAAGTCAAAAATCTCGGAGTAATCTTTGATCCGAACCTCTTGGAATACCCACATTTCCCAGATCACCCGAAAATCTGTAGCTATCCTTAAACTAATCCTACGATACGTGAATCCTTTCCAAAAAACAACAGACAGCTCCTTGTAACATCCCTTGTTTTCCCCCACTTTGACTATGGTTGCTTGGTGTCTGTCCACAAGACTGGAGGAGAGACTGAATAAAATAATAAATTGCTTCATAAGATTCATCTTTGGGACTTCCAGGCGTTCCCATGTTTCCTTCTTATATATCGAGTTGTAGTGGCTTTATCCTATTTTCCGACGGCAGATCCTTCTTGGCATTTTACCTTTTCCAAGTCTTCAGAACCAAAAATCCTCCCTACATTCTAGAAATCATTATCCTACGTTCCTCTGTACACTCTTTTAATACCAGATCTCAACCTATAGATTTATATATCTCCTCCCATAAAAACACTTTCTTCATCAAATCCTTCGTCATTCGTGCTACCTCCTTTTGGAACTCCTTACCTACCTCCATACGTCAAACCCCGATTTGATACCACAAATTCCTTCAAACAACTCCAATTCCTCCACCTGCTACGGATTCAAACTTCCGCAAGCTTGTAAGAATTTTTTGGTTATGTAATTATAATTGCTAACAGTTGATTGTCATTTTACTTTCAGTATTTTTTGTTTATAATTGTATTTTTCTTAGAATTCTATGTATATATTTGTATTATAATACATAACAGACTGATGTACATATTTTTTTAACTTATGCTGTTATTCTAAGGGGACAAAAAAAGTCCCCTTATTAATTATTTTTATTATTAATAAAATTATTTTTCATTCATTCATTAATTTATAGCCCATCGCAGTCAGATATTGGAGATGGCTGTGACGATCCTGTTCCGTGAGCCAGAGCCTTTAGTATAATATACATGGAAACCTTTAACTTTTAAACCATTGAAAATGTTCAAGAAGGAATAAAATAATAAGAATTCATACTTGTTCCAGATCTTTCCCTGAAATTCCTACACTGAAAATATTGAAAATGAATTGGATGCTCGCACTTCGTAAAATTGCCAATAACTCTTTAAGTGGTCTGATCAACCTAGAAGAACTACATTGTTCTCATAACAGACTGTTGAGTAGTATATCAGAAAATGCTTTGATGCACAGACCTTTAGGAAACGAAGAAACGCCTACTTGGCCACCGCTACGTAAGGTAATGTAAAAACCAAGATTAATGCAGTAATATTACAGTTCAGTCATTTCCCAAAAAGTTTCCAGTTGATCTTTAACCGTCTTGATCTCCCTTAAACACTTCTGCCTATCTTGGGTTATTGTTTTCCTGTTTTCTGCAGCATTTGTGATGGTTTGATCTATCCATCTGATTTATGGTTTCCTACATGGTTTCTTGATGATTATCGGGACCTCCATTGTTATATAGAGCCTTACTGATTGATTCATCCAGGGTGTAAGTCCCAACCTTCTCAACCACCTAGCCTTACTATTAAGAGATATTGATTGATCGATTTATGTAAATAGTCGTTTTTTGGCCCTCCTTCATGCATTCTGCTCCCAAGTTTCTCGGTTCATCGTGCGGATGTGTTTCATTTAAAATTTTGCAATACTGTAGTGCTGATAAGTGTTAATGTTTCACATCTCTATATCAGAAGTGGCTTTGTCGTAGCATTTTACACCCTGAATTTGATATTTCTACAATTTTTTATGGATTTAATACCTTTAAAGATTTAATTTAATACTTTGAAAGAGAGATGAAAGCTCTGTTCGCACTTGTTATACGTCAGTTTATTTCTGAACGTTGGTCATTCATTGAACTGGTTTGAATTCATTGAACTTATTCATTGAGCCAAGGTATTTCAATCTGTCTACCCACAGGATGGATTTTCCTTCTACGCAAATGGTAAGAATACAAATTTTGGTATGGAATTTTCGGCTTTCTATCATGTATTTAGTTTTATCTTAATTTACTTGTAGTCCAATCTGATCTTATTCTCTTAGTACAGTCTTGATATGTTAATGTCCTCTAATTTGCTTCCAAAAACAGCTATATAATATGTATATCCATGGATTTTACGATTCATTGCACCCTTCCATTTTCACGTGTTATTCTCATCACCTTCTCCAGTGCTAATTTAAACGGCACTGGGGAGAGTCCATCTCCATGCCGCAAATCGATTCGAACTTTGAAGGTTTTAGATCCTTCTCCTTACATTAGGATTCGACGTTTAGGATAATTTTACACGACTTATTCAACTTCCAGGAGTTGTACACACCACTGAAATATTGTCAATGCATTTAAGCAAGTGCTGCTGCAATGAATTGTAACATTTGCATTCGTTGATCTTTCAGTGAGTTGTAGATTAATTCTGGAGATATGGATGTTAAACGTTATTGTAATATTAAGGCATATATATCTGTGCTTCATAGGTCACCTATGATAAACTCTTTGAAGTTCCTCAACGCCATCAGATCATGCGTAGAAGAATGCAAAACGAAGTTTTAGATTATACAGTATTGCTTGTTCTGGATAATTATCAGTCTTTATAACTTAATATATGCAGCTTTGCACTTTTTTTTTTTGTATGTTTTTTTCGCTTATTTTCAATACTTTTTTCTCTAATAATATTTTAAGTTGTTCCATAATTTTACTTTAATATTTCATAATAAATCTTTATTATAAAAATTAAGAAAAGGAAATCATTCTTTCAGCTTCTACTGCATCACAACGATCTGTCATATTTAGATGTTAATCTGCTAAGCAGATGGGATAAACTGGAATATATTGATATTCAAATGAACCCTTGGATTTGCGACTGCAATAATCAATGGATGCTGACAACCTTGATTCCAAGAATAAATCAAACTAACTCATCTCTTCTGTTTGGAATTGAGTAAGTTTTACTAACAGTTAATCAATAGATTTTTTTTAAAGAACTAGTTTAAATATTTTAATGAATAGATACAAAAAATAATCAGAAAATTGAGAACTAATTTTAGAAATTTCCCACTATATTTTCATAGGTTTCGATGTTTAACAACGCAGTGTTAAAGTCACCAAAGCAGTTTATTAACCATTTTTTTTTCACTATCCTCATTTCTGAACAGTATTTTTTATGAGTTTCACTTTCTATACCTATTTATTTGTATTTTTTTTTTTTTTTTTTTATTATTCTACAATTCATTAATACTAAAACTACTCCATGGCGCTACAGATCTCTGAAATTATTGGTCTATTCACTGAATCTCCGTCAGACAAATCTATTCTTTACAGCCTATCGCCAGTCACAAGTTTTTCTTTAGGTCCTCCTCTTCCTCACCTTTAAAGCTATACGGGATTTTCCCGGGTCAGAGAGTGTGGGCGTGGATTTAAAAGATTCCATCGGCACCGGGACACGAAATCGTGACTATTTTTTTTTTATCAACGTGTCGCATACATTAGATTGCCAGGGAATGGCAGTGCTGTGCACACGCGTAGCCAGTTCGGCCACAATTGTCAATTACGTCCCGGGCGTCCCCAGATACTCCACCATCGCTTCTAATTAATGTTATGCCTCTTCTTCTGATCGCATATAGTCTCCCGCCCAGTACAACGTAGCCTAGCTAACCTTACATACGCATCACATCGTGCACAAATCATCCAGATGCTAAATATTTGATCTATTGTAGATTATTTCGTTCTAAAAGGCGCCTCATACCTGCCAATATTCCTCTCAACGAATGGGAGCAACTTTAAGTATATAATTAGAGTCCATGTTTCGCATGCCTATGTTGCAACTGGCCGAATAATATTAAATCTAGTGCAATATTAAAGAGGAATGGGGCTAATGAGTCACTTTGCCCGAGGTCCGAACAAATTGCAAAAGGAGTCGCCAATCTTACCTTTTATCTTAATTTTACTGACGGTATATTCCATGGTAGCCATTGTCAAATGAATTGCTGGTATGCCCAATTCTTACATTGCATAACAAAGCTCCACTCTAACCACCGTGTCGTACGCTGCCTTAAACTCACTGAAGAGCATCCGCATGGAGTTATTATACTCTTTCACTTTTTCTATTATCTGTCTAAGGGTAAAAATTTGATCGATCGTTGATCGAGTTGTCCTAAAACCACATTGGTAATCTCCAAGCTGTCTCTCTACCTATGATATAATGTCATTATACAGAGAACACCTTATATGCAGAATTAAGTAAGCTGGTACCTCTGTAATTTTTGCAGTCGCTTACATCTCCCTTTCTTTTATAAATTGGAACAATGAGGGACTCTTCCCATTCTTCCGGCAGTTTTTCTATTTCTCAAATATTTGCTACTAATTTAGTAATTTCATCCACATGGTGAAAATAATATTGAAGAGAGCTCTTTGGAGCGCCTCAACGCCACTAGAACTTGCTCCAGATATAGCCAACTGAAGAAACGAAGTGTAGGAGCATCATCACCAATACTATCTCAAAGCATTCTGAAACCAGCAGCGAGACTTGCAGTCTGAAGAATGGTTAGAAGGCTTTCTTGACAATCTTTCAGGTGTTTCAAGGTAATTCCAAAAAGGAGAATGATGTGGTACCACAGTCACAACAAGTAGTGCCTTCACCGCATTGTGGAACAGAAATAATACTATAAAACCTGGCATAAATCCTAAAATTGAATGTTCTCTTTATAAGAATCGTTATAGATATCTGCACAGTAGGATTTGGTGGATTTAACCCAGGTACTAACATGCATCTCGAAATGTTTTGGACAGCACCATCTTGCTCCAAAGTAGACAATGTAATTCTGTCTTTGCGAACGTTCATAGCAACAGACAATCTTGTGCAAAAATGCATCATTCCTATTTTTCAAAATTTGATATACAGATATTTATTTAAATACATTTAAAACGCGACTTTTCTTTTTAACTGATCCAGCTGTTAACAGTTTTATTTTTAAATCAAGAAGCGAATTATACGACCTTTGTAATTAAGTTTTCAAATAAATTTACTAGGAATGAGAAGTTAGAATATCTTAAAGAATTAATTTCTGAATGAACAAAATGCCCAGAAAATAAATGACCAGAGATTTCAGACAAAATATCATTTTTTTTTTCTAATTTAAGAATAAATGTCGGGAAGGTAACCAATCAGAAGATAGATTCCTTAGAAGTAATTCGATGTGTAAGACGGCTATTAAAAACTGAGCAATTATGAAAAATGTTCAGTTATTAAAATTACAAGAATACAACCCGGCATTTTTTCGAAAACTAAAAAACATCATCTAAAGTAACACAAGTCAACGAAGACCTTATCTATCGATTTGGAGTACTACTGCAAACTATTTTAAAATGTGGGGCTGTGACTGAGTGTGAAAATGTGAGGCCCACACAGAAGGAATTTTATTGACTGAAGACACCAATAGCGATGAATGCAGCATATATTCAACAGAAAATTAAGGTTTACGAATTTTTCAATGTACTTATTTTTTATACATATAAGTATTATTTAGGTAATGGTCAGAAATAGAACAGCGTATAACTAGCGCAAATAGAGCTTTCTTCTCCCTTTCAAAGGTATTAAAATTCCGAAAAATCTCAAATTAAGGGTGTACAATGCTATGATAAAGCCAGTTCTAATATATGGCTGTAAGACCTGGACAGTAACCAGCACCCTAGAAAAAAGTATAGAAATATTTGAGAGAAAAATCCTCCTCGCAATAACCGGAGCGATCTAGGATCAGAGTACTAACACATGGAGAAGAAAGACCAATAAAGAACTGCTTACAGAAATTGGTCAATCAATATCCCATGATATGAAGGCACGTAAGTTAAAATGGGAGGGACATGTAGCTCGTAGCAATCCATCTGGAAGCCTCTACATAACAATGAATGCCTCAATAGAAAGCAAAAGACCACGTGGAAGGCCAAAAAGCAAGTGGCTAGGTAGAATCAACAAAGTGGAATAGAGCTGCATGCAGATAACTGGAAAGAAATAGCGCAAGACAGGCAGAGATGGAGCGGGCTAGTTAATGCAGCAAAAGACCTACAAGATCTGTAATGGCAAGAGAAAAAAAAAGTAATATTTTAATGTTAGTAAATAAAGTTTATATGTTAACACACATATATTCCTGTTTTTATTGGTCTCGATAATTATATAATAGTCTTACAAAGTGTTTCTTCTTAATTTAATTTTTTTTACGCCCCTTACTAACGATAATTTTTGGATTCGCGTTTGCCTATAACTGATATAACAGAGATATTGTATAATTGTATAGGTTATTCATACACTATTTAAGTGGTAATTTTTTGTAAAAATTCCATAATTTAATTTATCCCATAAATTTAGTTCATTTTCCCCACTGTGTACCGCAACCTTGACGGTAACTTATAAGTAACAGTTTTACTTTATAATGTAACCGTAATTAAATAGTGCAAAACAATAGCGGATCCAAGATTTAATTTTGGGAGGCGAGAGGCTTCAGCCCGAACGATTTTTTTTCATATATATATATATTCAGATATATATATATATATTACACTTCTTATCTGACGAATTAATCCCCTCAGGTGGATGGTTTATAGTGTTTGTAATATGTCAACAACTATATCTGTTAACTATATTCTGTCCAATATGGAAGGAAATATAATTCATTATCGGCATATTTCGTTGTATTATTTCAAAAAAAGTAAGCGTGCTGCAGAAGCTCATAGAAAAATTTGAAGTGTTTACGGGGATGATGCCTCAATCGAACGCACGACACAACTGGTTTGCTAAATTTCATTAAGGAAATTATGGCATCAATGATGCTCAATGGTCTGGTTGCCCACATGAAATTGAAACGAGCAATCTTAAGGCCATTGTTGATCAAAATCCCACCCAATAATGTGAGAGATTGCTATGGTCCTAAATGCATGCACACAAGCGTTGTTCAATATTGGGGGGCCCGGTACATGCCATATGACCGGAAGCCCTGTTCTTGAGAAATATAAAAAGAAAGAAATATTTTGTGAAGGAATACTTGTGAATATATAAAATGACCTACGTACGATTTGATGAGGGGGCCGGTCTCGCGCCTTCTCTCTCTCTCTCCGCCGTTCGTCCTGGATCCAGGAAATAGCCGAAGGGCTATAGCTCTGGAGGTCTGGTCAGGAGGTAGGTCGTAAACCGTGCTTCTTACTCACTTCGCTTGCTAGCATCTGTCCTTTGGCCGTAGATAAGGCCGTCTTAGGAAGGGGGTAGTGCAGGATGTGACAGGGGTCCCCTATGTTATTCACACAGGTCAAATCACAACATAATAAAACAATAAAATTTTGGATGTAAATCCAACAAGCGTAGACAACCATTTGCGCAAGCTCAGCTATGTTTCCAGGCTTAATGTTTGGGTCCCTCACACAGGCGGATCTACGGGGGGGGGGGGGCCAAAATAGTAAAATATAACCATGTTTTACAGATAAAAATATTAAAAACTATCTCTTAAAGTATTCTTCTTCGTGTAATAACATTTAATAGGACTTCAAGAACCACTTAAACTAAACACCATTTCATATAGGTAGTTAATTTTTTTCAAATTGATTATCGTTATATATATATATATATATATATATATGTGAAAAAAAAAATCGTCCGGGCTGAAGACTACCCCGCCCAAAATTAAATCCTGGATCCGCTAGTGGTCCCTCACATGATTTTTTTCGAAAATTGCAAAAAAAATAACTTTAATGCGACTTTAGCTATCTACAAGAAATTTATCAGGAATTTAGGGCCACATAAACTACACAAAATGACATCAACAGGACCTTCGTAAACAAACTACAAATGGAGATAAAAAATAAAAACCTATAAGGAGTTTTTGTATATTTATTCCTTATGTAGGCCTTAAATCAAAAAACCATTCATACGGCTTTGAAGAGCAATAATTCAGCTTTCCAACGGATATAGTAACATCGACTTTGGAGAACATTCTGAAGAGTTATGAATGATCGGAAAGGTGTTATGTTCCACCCTAGGCCCCACACCTCATTGGTCACTCGTAATATATTATTGAGCCTTGGATGAGACCTTTTGCCCCACCCTCCCTATTTACCAGACCTAGCTCCAAGTAACAGACACCGGAAATCTGCAGAACTCCATGAATGGAGAGAAATTCCAAAAGGAAGAGAACACCAAAAACCACTTGGATCAGTTTTTTGACAATAAACTCCAGACATTCTATGGACGTGGCATTATGCAGTTAGTGGAAAGATGGGAAAAAATCATATAAAATAATGGTCAATATATTGTAGATTAAAATTAATTTTATGCCTATAATACATTGAGTTTTATTTCACCCTGAAGAACCGAAAGGACTTATTTGCCAATCCAATGAATGAAATTAAAAAAAAAAAGAAATTAACAACCTATATGAAACGATGTTTAAGTGGTTCTTGAAGTCCTATTAAATGCAATTACACGAACAAAAATATTTTAAGAAATAATATTTAATATTTTTTTCAGTAAACATAGTTATATTTTACCATTTGGAGGAGTGGGGGGGGGGAGTTGGGGGTTTCAGCCGATTATTACTTTGAATGTAGAAGAATGAAACTAAATACCAATATGAAATCAGTGAAATCAATACAAAACGTATTGAAATAATTAATGTTAGCCTCTCAATAAAAGAACTGTATTACAGAAGCGTTGAATAAGATAAAATTCAAATATAAAACAGCTAAGGAATAAATTTAATTTTTTAGGAGGGGGATGACGTCATTGTCCAGGGGTGCCTAATGTCTAAGGCCGGCACTGTATGAAATGGTGTAGTCCTATTAAATGTAATTACACGAACAGTAATACTTTTAGAGATAATTTATTAATATTTTTCACAAGACTTACCATCTTGGTGGAATTTAGCCCGAAAGCCTCCCCCTCACCGTAGATCCACCTGTATCATTCGGTGATTTGATAGAAATGATTCATAAGTGCTTCTTCATGAGTCTTCCTATGTGCTATAGCGTTGTTATTCTATGTTTTTTTTATTGCTTGTTTTCTGCCATGGACTTGAGTCTCTACACTATTGGTTTACTCTTCCAATTCAGCAATTCCAACAACAGATCTCCAAGAACACTTCATTTTTAAGTGTTAGTGTTAGTGCTCAATGATGGTGGATTATGTTAATTTAGTTTTAAAGTAATAGCTGTTTATATCTTTCTTTTTAGAAAAGTACTACAAATACTTATCATAAGATTTTTTTTTGTTCCAGATGTAACAAACCAGTTGAAATGGAAGGTCAATTATTATATCAACTTAGTGAAAGAAGTTCACACATGAGATGTCTGGATTTGTATGGCAATCAACCTGACAGAGATGATGTTATATTAATTGTTGTTGTAATACTAGTTTTTGCTATAATGCCAATTGTAATGGCATTTATAGTGTTTGTGCTATATAAAAATGTAAAAAACAATTATCATCATACATCATACAAAAATCTTCAAAATTCTTAAATAATAAGTTGTATAATCTTATGTTTTAATAATAATTTTAAAACACATTATACAAAATAAGTAGAATTATATGATCAATAAAGCAATTACTTTTAAGAAGGTAAGTAAATAATAAAAACAAAATTAAGAAGAAAATTCTTTTTAAGGGCTTATTAAATTTTTTCTTCTGATGTAAAATATGACTGCATTTAGAACTCTATATAGTTTATTTATGAAGAGAATAGTCAATAGATATCTAGTCAATGCTCTTTGTAAAAAATATATATTAGTAGAAAAAGGCCTTTTTTGTGTTCTTTGACTAAGTGTGCAAGTGGGTGCACTGCTTTAAGAGTATGAAAATTTAAATTACATGTAAAATCAGATTATACCTGAAGATGCCTTAAAAGGCGAAAATTTGAAGTAAAAGAATTTATTTATCGAGACTGAAAATTCCTTTTTCTACTAATACTTATTATAGTCACTTTCCCAAGATAATCTTTTATAAAAAAAAATATATATATATATATTTACTGTATATTAAGAATATGTAGCATCAATATGAATGTAATGATAATTAAGTTACCATTATTTAGTAATGAAGTTATACTTTCAGTTTTCTAAAAATACATTATCAATATATATTGTAATTTCTTTCTTCTAAGTGATAAATATAGATGATTGTTTGCCACCATCAACATGATCAAGACTGGAAGGGGTACAGCAAAAATCCAGATTTTAAAAATTCCCTAGACTATCTCTAAAACTATAGCCAGTAGGTGAATAATTAATAGGACTTTTTGTGAAGAGACTTTACTGTAGATTAATTTTACATGGATCTTGTTTTGGGCTAAATGCAATATTCAGTGAGATACTCAGTAAAAAGCGTACAAAAATGAGAGGCAAATAACAGCAGGAAAAAATTTTAAAAAAACAAAAAAAAAACGACAAAATCAAGTCAGAATTTATTTATTTTTTTAATTTAAATACAAATTTGTATTTAACGATTTTAAATGAAACTACCAACAGCTCATGACAAAATTTACTTATCCTACTTTACTAGAATTGTCTTTTGGTTATCGTTTGTATTTTCTTATACATTCAGTATAAGAATATAATCAGATTTTTTTTTTTAATTTACACAATAAAACAAATATATTAGTACATTATACAAAACCAACTATATAAAAAATGTTTAATTAAATGGCACATAGGCAAGAACATTCAAACATGAATCAAATATTTTTGACCTAGTATTCCGAAACAATGTTTCATTGAAATTGGTGATCCATATCTGTAACCTTTCATCATTAATACAGAAATATTTTGATTTTCTCAACTATTTTAGATTTAAACTTATACTTACCTGTAGCAAATGTTGGCAATTGACCACAATATATATATATTTTCCTTTAACACAAAATTGTATAGATAAAATACCAGTATTTTAACTTACAAGGAGTTGGAATTGATTTCTAATTTTAGAAATTATTTGAATAAAATAATTTATCACAATTTTCGCAGATTGAAGTAGGTTCTAAACATTTCCACTTTATGGGTTTTCAAATAATAAAATTAACCTCCTTCTTCTCCCATGGTAACATTTCTGAATATTTGGGATAGTATTACCCATGAACGTTTCTAAAAATTCTTTTAAGTGTTTATCATTTAATTTATAGAAAGGTACATCACATTTCACAAAATCATGGAATAAATCTGTATGAGTTTACCCAATAATCTGAATTTACCCAACGAGTATTCTTTAGTTAGTAATTTATTAAAAATAAAGAATACCTGTTGCTTACTTTTTATGTTTACCAATAAATAAGAGAATCCATCCTTTTAATTAAAACAAATCAAATAGAAATAGCCCTGCTCATTTTTGAGCAGTATGTTTATTACCCCAAATTATTGACTTTTTGTTCCATACAGTTATTACAAAACAAAACATTGCCGCTACCCGAAAAGTTTCAGTGGGAAATTTGCAAACATATTTCAATACTAGGAGAATAAAGGTTTATATGCTATTTTACAGATTGAAAAAATATGTTCACTAGAACGCATCTGGGTTACAATCTAATAATAGATATAATTTCATGGCCAGGTTTGTGGAGTGCATTCTAATCCCAAAATTCATAGAATGTTTTGTTAACCTGTTAAGACACTTTCTTTCAATTGGTTCTCTCCTTTTTTTTTTTATTTATTTTAAATGTAGTTTTTTTATTGACTAATTATGGACAAAATTACATGGTTGGGCTCTTCTACGTAATATCCTCTAATAAGTAAAATAAAAGATGTTTTATTAATTATTATTATTTTCAATTGTATGAAACCTAAAATAAACTGGCAAGGAAAGATGTAAAAGGCTTTAAAAAAGTTATTTAAATACATATATATTTGTTTTCTATTCATACAATAATTAATACCAATTAAGAAATGAAGCTAATAAACTGTAGTAGGTTATAAAAGTGAAGACTGAATATTTTGAATGTTAGACAATAAATGAAATGGGTAATCAATAAGCCATAACAATCCACATAGGTAAAAATATTGTATTTTATTCAGATGAAAATAATTAAAAAATAGCTAACACTTATATAAAATTAAAAATTATGACATTAATCTACAAGAATAATGTTCATGTAAACAATATTTGAATATAAATAAAATAAAATAATAAAATCTGTAAAATGATTCACTGAATCATACATGTTCAACAATAAATTTTATTATTAACTTCAGTGTTTATTTATCCACAAGGAAACAATAGTAGAAATGCTCTTGTTCTTGATTATCAAATTCAGGCACGAAAGGTATTTTAACTATGCTTGAAAATCCTTCATCCATTGAAGGTGGCTCAAAATTAGTGCTAAAAAAAAAATAAAAAAAAATAAACTGCATGCTATATAAAGGATATAAATAACGATAATAAATAAAAGATGCTCTGAACTGTAAAATAGAAAAATATTATTCAAATAAACAAAGTATGCATTAAAAGACTGTGAAGGTCATTTGGTGAGAAAGAGAGATGTAAAGGCTCCAAAGAAAATAAGGAGAAACTTATTGGATAGAATAAGGAGAGTAGGGCGCCTGAAGCAGTGTTGGAGGGAGAAGCTGGCAATTGATGAAAAAATTGCCTTTTGCTAATCAGTATTGAAGAATAGCTGCTCAAAACTGAGAAAATCTGTAGAAACTATATGAAGATAAGGACCCATGGATTTTAGCATAACATAATAATAACAATTCGGTTTTAATAACATTAAACAATTTTAATTTTGCTTTTTCTTAATTAAATAATTTATAAAGTGAGGTTGACCAAGCCCCTACCTAAATCCAAATGTCTTTGGTAAGTTTTTATATATCCTATTGGTGAGTTAACAATCATTAATTATATGAGCAAAGTTTAAAATTATAAAATAACTCTGGAGTATTCACACGTAAGTGAAATATAACAGTTAAACAAACAATAAATAACAATATGAATGTCCTGTATTGATAGGTACGCGGTATCTGTAAATGGAAGGAGATCGGGGCAGGTCAGGCGCTATTACCTGTCTCCGTATTTTTGCCCTCAATTCCATAGGTTGTGGGCCCCATTTACCAACCCTCATTTCTCCTATTAACTTAATTCTTTCATAGTATACATTTAATTGGCTAATTCATCTCATAAATGTACAACAGGGTTTATGCCTGCACTACATGATGGCAAGGGTAATTAACACCTTGAATTTTTTTTTCCGCTCAGTGTATTTTCAAAAGTCTGAGTCATAAATATCAGTTTCAATTTAATTAATTAAGTCTCAGATATTTGATTTTATAAAAAATTAGTAATTTTCTTACTTCTATAAACTTAATGAATTTTCTGCACTCCTTTTTGAATTTACAGTTTTTTGTTAAGAAATGATAATTTCCCACCAACCAAGAGTAATTATTATCTTATTTAGTAGTTTCATAGTATTTTTCTTTCCAAACATCTGAATAAATAATTGAAAGTGATTTTATGAATTTTTCAAGGATGATCACTTTTTTTTCTATTGGCAGTACAGACCATGTAATGCTGCCTTAACAAGCCTGCTCCATCTCTTCCTGTCTTGGGCAATTTTTTTCCATTTATCTGCACACAACTCTGTTTGCATCTTTGTTGGTTCTATCTATCCATTTGCTTCTTGGCCTTCCACATGGCCATTTGCCTTCTATTGAGGCATTCATTGTTACGTAGAGGCTTCCATCTGGATTACTGCGAGCTACATGCCCTGCCCATTTTAACCTCCGTGCCTTCATTTCATGGGATATTGAGAGACCAGTTTCCGTAAGCAGTTCTTTATTGGTCTTTCTTCTCTATGTGTTAGTACTCTGATCCCAGATCGCTCTGGTTATTGTACAGAGGATTTTCCTTTCAAATCGTTCAATACTTTTTTCTAGGATGCTGGTTAGTGTCCAGGTTTCACAGCCATATATTAGAACTGGCTTTATCATAGCATTGTACATCCTTAGTTTGAGATTTTTTTAGGATTTCAATATCTTTAAGAGGGAGACGAAAGCTCTCTTTGAGCTAGTTATATGCAGGTCTATTTCTGTCCAGGTTCTATTTCGGTCATTCATTGAGGTTATTGTAGAGCCGAGGTATTTGAATTTTTCTACTCTCGGGAACGATTTTCCTTCTACGTAGATCCTGGTATTGGGGTGGAATTTTCGGTTTGTTATCATATGTATTGTTTTGTCTTTATTAACTTGTAGGCCGATCTGCTCTGCCTCTCTTATCAGTGTTATAATGAGTTTCTCAATGTCTTGATTACTTCCAAGGACAGTTATATCACCTGCGTATCCAAGGATTTTATGATTCATTCCGACGTGGACTCCATTTTCCTGTGATGTTGTTCTTGTTACCTTCTCCAGGACTAAGTTAAACAACATCGGTGATAGGCAATCTCCCTGCTGTAAGCCCATTCGAACTTTGTAGACTTCAGATACTTCTTCTTGTATTAGGACTCTACATTTGGGGTCATTTGTACATGCCTTTCTCAATCTCACCAACTTACCAGGGATTCTCAGTCCACTCATGATTTTCCAAAGATAGCTCCTGTCTACAGAATCATAGGCTGCTTTGAAATCGAAAAATAGGGCATGGACGTCCTGAACTACTCCCATCGTTTTTCGAGTACTTGTTTTAGGACAAAGATCTGGTCTAGCATGCTCTTCCCTTTTCTGAATCGATCTTGGTGGTCGCTTATTATATTCTTGTAATACAGATATATCCGGTCTAGTAGGATAATGGTCATTATCTTGTATGAACCGGAAGGAATGCTATGCCTCTGTAATAACTACACTCATACATGAAGCCTTTCTTTAGAAAAGGACAGATTAGGCCTTTATTCCAAGCCTCAGGTTTCCTCTTCCCATATTTCCTGGATTAGTTGTAATAGCTTGGCTCTATAGTCGTCTACTCCATCTTTAAATAGTTCCCATGGTAGGTTGTCTATCCTTGGGCCCTTTCTTGTTTTGAGTCTTTCTATAGCTATTTCTATAAGGATGACCGCTATTAACACTTATTCGGTCTTTTTACTTTCACTTACCTCACCTATATATGAAATATGTAGTAAGGGACAGTATTGCGGTCGTGAAAATTTTCAAATCTGAATTTTCAATGGAAATACACGTTTTAAGGTTTCCTGAGTCTAAATAACCAAGTCCTGCAAAATGGTCTGTGTGTCTGTGTATGTATGTGAACAGTTTAGCTCAAAAACGGAAAGTCCTACGAAACTGATATTACATTTTTAAGACAGGTATATGACTCAGATGTTACAGTAACTTTTTCCTTAAAATCGGCTAACTGGAAGTGGCACTTAATGCTTATCCAGGTTGACAATGAATCTCTAGAAATAACAGTCAGAAGGTATACATAAAATATATCGTTGGAAAGTGGAGAATTTTAGATAAAATAATATCAAGTAAACAATGTTGTAGAAGGTAACGGAGAGTGCTGAAAAAAATATAAATAATAATTTCTAAAAACTAAAAATCACATGTTTCCAAGGAAATTAAATGACATTTTCTTACTAAATGTAAACTTTTAAAATATCTTTAAGTTTGAAAAGAGTATTTAAAATCCACCTAATCAAGGCAATGACATTGTTTAAAAAACTATTTCATTGATATGATTATAACATTAAATAAATTTACTGTAGTTTAATAACTCTAGATCAAATATATTTAAATAATTAGGTATCTATCGGCTGTTTATTCCGAAAAAATCATTCAGTCCACCTTTTATAAGTGCAACATTGTCAGAAAATAATTTCTATTGAAAGTAGAGCGGTAAGTGAAAGTTGTGTGATGTGTGCACCAAAGTTTTTTTTTTTTTAATATTTTACTTTTTTGTCCTCAAAATGAAAAATAATACAATTTATAATATAACTAAAAACCTGTATCACTACAACCCATGTAGGGTCTTGGGGTTCAGAACTATTAAGGGAAAGCACTGTTTCTTGGTCTACGGTTGTGCAAGGAGGTGATTTGACACAAATCAGGCTCAACCGCCAGGTATTTCCCCTTAATCAATTATTTTAATTAAGGGCACCCACTTTATAGAGGCTGGGTGTGCCCCTGGAGGATCTATCTACTCAGGGTCACCCACGGCCAATGAAACAGAATAAATAATTTTTCTGCCATGAGCCAGGATTTGAACCTGGGACCTTTAGCATTGGAAGATCAGTACCCTGCCACTGAGCTACCCCGCTCCCTTTATTATATACCTAGATAATTAATAATAGAGGACTTTGGAATTATCGATGTAGATAGGTAACAATATATAAATTCTACAAAAAGCAATGCTTTACTATGAGTATAAAAGAAGTAGTATTGATATGTTAGTTTTTTGTTTTTTTTAGACTAATGGATTTGAGGAGAACAAGCAACTTTTTTAAAAGGAGAACTAAGACTTCACTTGATCACCAAGAAAGAAAGAGCATAAAAAAAAATAAAATAATAATACTAATAAAGAAATAATTAAATAAATGAAAAACCTCTGTTCTCCTTTCTAATATACATGCAAATAAAAAAAAAAAAAAAAAAAAAGAAATGAACTTACTTGTAAGATGTTATCAATGATGACCCAATAATTTCGTGTTCTGAATCAACGATTTCACGGAACTGAAAAATAAATAAGATTAAAAATAGATAAAGATTCACTAAGTTGGGACATTTATAACAGCTAATTGCAATATAAATTAAATTGAGGCAGAAAACTATAACCAAACAGAGCTAATTTCATGAAATATAACTATTGCTTGACTGATGAAACATACCTATTACTACTGGTATTGGGAGGGGGGAAAGAGTCCGGCAAGTGGACCTATAGTAGTCCTTTTTGCCAACCCCTGACGGCCACCTTTAAGGTTGCCGCCGTGTATTTGCCAGAGTGGGAATGTCACAATCCATTGCCCGGGACCGCCGAGCAATGAAAAGTAACTGACCCAGGTGGGAATTGACCCACAACGTTCAGAACCGGGCACTCTGGGACCCACACCCCAACATGCTCGGCCATCCCGTCCTCTACCCATTACTAAGAATAGTTTTTGAAGTCACTGGATTAAAAAAAAAATAATACAATTATGTAATATGAATAATGTCAGTTTAATTGTCATAAAAGAATAAAAAAAGGTATGACAGCCCAAAAGGCTGGATAAAGTTGGAGGTATTGTACAATAACCTAGTGGTAAAATTATCAAACCGAGAGAAGACCGAGATCACCGAGATATTCTCAAAAATACATATTTATCCATAAATCCTAGACAAAAACTTTAAAGGGAAAGAAGAAAAAAAATGAAATAAACTTTACAAAACAAAAACTAGATATTATACATTTTTATGCATAGACACTTTCAATGAAAAATGCTAGCAGCTGACTATCAGCAGCATTGACAGTATTCTAATAGATGACACAAAGAACAATTATGTTAGCTAAATTCAATAAATTTCATCATGCTCTTTCCTCTCTCTGCTCCTGATCAAAATTACAACTCTTTCCTAAACCCTTTCCTTGCAAAATCTCTTGCTCATCAGTTTTCCAGTTTTACCAAAAGAATTAAAATAATAATTTTACATTATTCCACATTAACGTTTCTCCACCCTCTTCCTTTCACTTTTCCTAAGTACCATCATTTATATCAACTGTGATAATTTTTATTTTTCCTACATCTCTCCTACTGATCTAAGCCAGTTTTTATGATATATATATTTTTTTTATCTTTAACTCCTAAACGGTGTATCAAAGCAAAAAATGTACTCCACGTCCACTGAGTACGAACAGTTTTAATTTAGGTCACTTACTCTGCTCAAAATTGGTAATCTCCCAATGGCTGGAAATTGGTAATGCAGGTACTTGTGATTTTAAATATTTCAACAGTACGAGTTTCAATTCTGAGTTATTCTTGTTTATAATCTGCTATATACAGTATAGGACTCTATTCCACCTCTCAGCAGTTAAGGATTTTGAGAAATGAGGTTTCAAAAGAAACCGAATTTCACGATGAAATGATATAATTGACCTACATTAAAATTGTACAAATTTTATTCTATGAGTTTTTTCTCTAAAGGTACTATTTCGCTGGTACTGCCCACTGCTGGCAGTTAAGCACTGCTTTAGTGGAATAAAGGAGCCTATTTTGCTGCCATGGGCAGTACCAGCAAAATAGTATCTTTGGGAAACTCATTTCCAAACTGTCAGGCCATTTATAGTAATCTGTCTCAGTTTTAATAATAATCAGTTAGTAATAAGCAACATTTGTAGACCGTGGTTACTGACTATACCACTTAACCAAATTATTAAGTTTCAGTACTCGTTTAAAGTACAATTCAATATTCTTTAATTAATTAAAAAGTACGATTTTCGATTTAATGCATCATCCAGGTGAAAAAAAAATCTTTTTTTGTGGTCATAAAAACTTTTCCCTTGGGTTAGCAATTTTGTTTTTGATATATATGTTTAAACCCATACCACACATAAAAGTTAAAAAAATTAAAAATTTTCCCACATTTTCTGTTTCGATTCTTAAGTTACTGGCCCAATATTCTTTAAATCAGCTACCTTTTTTTCAGGTAGCATTATCCAACTGGAAAACTTATTTTAATATAAATGTTAAGAATATTAACAAAAATGTTTTCAAAATTTGCATTACATATTGGCAATTTGTTTGCATGGGTTCTCGAACTCTGAGTAACTTTCATGATTCATTTTCCTGAAGTACCCATCATCTCCTAGTCTTAACTCATTCTCCCTTACTTTGACTATGGCTGATATAATTGAAAATTGAGGACTATCTGGTGAGCATAAGATGACACTAAAGAGATTAATGAATTACTTCATAAGATTCATTTTCAAAACTTCTTAATTACCTTTATAATCTTTCATTTTTTTAATAACTAACATCAGCTATGTCCTTGGAAACAAATTAAGATATAACATTTGAAAACATGGGTTATCTCATTATTTCACAAGATAAAACAACTAAGTGCTCTCGGTGATATTCAACTACAATTAAAGATTTCAAAATGCAGTATTGCATTACATAAAAAGTATATATTTTTAAACTATAGAAGCCCTCAACAATCAACAAAAATAAAACAAAATATCAAGAGTGTTCCAAATACTTTTTGATGTTTCCAACAATTTGATGGCTGCAACAAGGTCTGATTGGACCCTTAAATGAATTTAATTAGACAACAATAGTCTGTGGGCCAGATCTTCCCCCTACTATGCAACACCCCCCCCCCTCCCTCACATCCCTAAAAACTACAAATCTTTGTGTTTCTTGCAACTAGTAATTAAAAAAAAAGTCAATGTTCCCACAAAAAAAAAAAAAAGTGAGCACACTCTCCCAACACGATGGATTGATGACTATGACTTGAGTTAGTTTATCGGTCACTTAGATTCAGCATTTGGTTTAATTTCGTCATAATTGTTTTTTTATTAAAGCAGGATAGTCAGAGAATGATAAGACATGAAAAAATATTGAAAATAACTGGTTTAGGCAATAAAAAAAAAACAGTTAAAGTAAATTTTTTCAGTTCATTCAAACTAAAGTCAAAAATTAAGCATTGTTTATAATGAAATGACCAGCAGAAACGAAAAACTCCTTGAAATAAAACATCTAGAGAATACATTTATCTTTATAAATCAGTGGTTAATTATTAAAATATTTGAAATAGAAAATGCACTTAATTGGCAAAAAAGCGGTGCTGCTGTAACAGCCTACAGTCTTCTGCCACATAATTCAGTACTCATAAATGGCATAGTTATAGTAGCGCTATTATAATGTTTTTGGTATATTACTTTGGTTATATTAAAGAACAAATATTATTGCAATAATTTAACTGTCCAAAACAATTATAATAATTTTTAATTTTTTTACTACTTCCAATATTCTATACTGGGACATTTTAGACTGCCTCTATTTAACTAAAATATAATTATAATAATAAAATTTAATTCAGTAATATTTAGCAATTTAAGATTTTTTTGTTCATTTATTGATTGTTAGAGGTTTGTTAAATTTGATGTACTTTCCGAAAATGGATCATATTATTACCTGTTTTATAATAAACTAAAATATATACTTAATCTGAATGACATATAATGAATCGTTACAATACTGTAAAAAATCATAAGAATAAGTGAAACTCTACTTATCTCTATGAAATAAAGCCAACACCAAACACATCTAACACCAAAATATCGGTATTTAAAATATCAATATCTGCTCAAATTTATGTAACTGACGATCCCTTAAGAATTTATTGACACATTTATAAATATATTTAATATTTATAAAATAAGGTCGTACGAGCTATATACTGGTCTTTGAAATATCGGTATCTGCTCAAATTTATATATAGGTCAATCACTTAATGACTGATGAACACGTTTATTCGCAATAAGTAGAATATTTCAAGTGAAACTCTACCAATCTCAATAGAATAAGGCTATATCGACATAATGTTGGTCTAATAATATCCCTCATGTTTACAGAAAAATATGGTGGTAATTAGCACAATTCTACAACACTACAAGACTCTAATATGAATAAAATAATTTTTATTTAGTTTTAAAATAAGTTCCCAAAACAACTAAAACCAAGGGTAATCAGGATATTAATTAAATAAAGGCACTCACCTTATTGTTGTGTATACAATGCTCCAGCGGCACATCCATACAAAAACATCTTACTTTAACATTATATTTTTTACTAATTTCTATAAATCGTTCCCGAGAAGTACGATCAGGGTTTACATTATCAACAACAGCATTTCTATGAGATTTGAGAGCTTCACTAAGCTGGCTTACACATTTTTGCCAAGTGCCAGATTTATCTCTGCTCACAACGTAATAACCATGTGGCTCAATATAATTCTTTACAAAGTGAGATTTTCCGGATCCTGGCAATCCCACCATCAGTATAACCTAAACATAATATATACAGACTGAAATTAAATTATTTGATAAGAAGGGAGGAGGGATAAAATATTTAAAATGGATTATATAATTTTTATTGAATTAATTACAGCAATGATTTTCATACAAATCCAATATTGTGAACAACAACCAATCATAAAAGTTTTACTGTGAATTTCTGTATTTTCTGTTACAACTGAGATCAAGAAACTGTAATGTGATTAGAATTGAAATGCTATTGCCAAATGGTGTTGACATTTATAAGTAAAATGGTTTAATTAAAAAAATAAGGTTCTTTCAGGTATAAATAACCACGTGCATATTTCAGATGTAGGAAGAGCTGGGAGTAAATGATACCATTATTTAATTAAAAATCTAGTGCGGTCACACAACTTTCACTTACCACTCTTTTCTTAGCGGAAATAAGTATTTTAAGACAAAGGAAAGTGAAAGTAAAAATTGTAGACGGTAAGAAACATTATTTAAAACAATTAATTACCATATGTTTTTCATAGCTGTCTAATGTATTATATTTATTTTGTTTGACACTAGCCATTTCCTTTTACAGTTGTATATTTCAATTATTTATTTGATAATAATAAATAATTAAGTGTCACAAAATATTTTTAGTCCGACAAGAGTGCCACTGATATAGAAAGGAGTTATATTTATTTATATTTCATTGTCAGTATTTTTATTCAAGTTAATTTTTATATCGCTGTAATCTATACAGTTAAATATTAAATAATACCAACAATAGCATTTATGAAAACCGCATATGTATATGTACATAACATTGCCGGAGTCTGTATTATATTAAGCTCATGTTACAATTGGAAGCCTCTCATCTTTCGGGTGAGCTTATATTCCTTTGGTTCCTCCAATACAACTGTTCTCCATTACGATCTCTTATTTCTCCTTTAGTTAATTATCAAATTTTTTTATATTTTATATTTCACTATTTTTTACATCAGAGATCAATGTGAAATGGTTAATTATTTCAAATAAAAAAATTAAAGGTACTTTAGAGGAAGAAATATTGAAAATTAGCCATTTAAGCCATATTAGAGAACATCAATGAGAATAAAACCTACATTATATAAAAAATACTTAACTTCACACTGATATAATGAATTTTATCAAAATTGTTAGAGCCATTTTCAAGAAAATCATAAAAGTATGTTAAATCAATGACATAAAGTGCTACTTCCGGTTATCCGATTTTGATGACAAATTTGCTGTAACATTCAAGGTGTATACAAAATTTAAATATGAAATTTCACTTTCGTACGACTTTTTATTTTTGAGCTAGACTGTTCACATACATACACACACACAGGGCGCATACCATCACAGTCCTCACAGAAACAAGTGACTTTCTGTATTTTCTTATTTGGCTCCTTACTTCCTAGGATCTTTCTCAGTTATCTGTACTGCTTTTGCTGTTTCCTTCCCTCACCTAAAGGCATAATAAAAGAATGGACACCACGCATCAAATGTGGTGATGGTGATTGGCGCTGAGTTGCGAGTTAATCAGTGAGAACTGATCGGAAACTATACAATTGATATGTGTTTTTCGTTCATCATGTTAAAGATGATATAAGAATTGAACACCAACGTTCCAAACATTATCTCGATTACCATGCATGTGCACTGTCCTGTCACGGCAGGAATATATATTGGACACTGGGGGATGATACCGTAGGGAAATCACTTTTATCAATTTGGTACAGTATGGGTACCTGGTGTCCAACAGCTTTATTTCAGATATAATGATTATTTACGTTTGGCAGTCGAGAAGAATATTGGACCTCGGGAACCGTAACTGCAGCTAACCTGTTAATGACACTTATTGAAAAGTGGCACTTTAAGCTTCTCAAAAACTTTCTCAGATACTTTATCATTCTACTAATCTTTTATTGGTCAATCAATGAACAATATCAATTTCTAGTAAAAGATAAAACGAGAGAAAAACTGGCCCCTTTTTTTCTCTTTAATGAGATTAAAATACACAAGATGTGATTATAACTTTAAATTTTAATATATTTAAAAACAAATTCAAATCAATTTGAAGCATATTAAATAAGAAGCATTTTGGATATGATTTTGCGGTTGGCAGAACTGAACTACATCTTAAGTAGACTATCTTTCCTTCCTTAAGAACATCAGAAGTTATTACCTCTTGGTTTGTAGATGGTAGTTCGAGGTCAGGCAATTTATTGTTGTTTTTCTGACCAGGATGAAATTTAAAACGACTATAATCAGCCGCTGGTTCATTTAGAAAATATTCTTCCGGTGTGTAAAATTTTAAACCAATATTAATGGCAAACATCCTGTCTGATGCCGCAAAATCAGCTTTCTTCCCATCTTTCCAATTTTCTGGTCTCCCAGCAGCATCGCCCACATAAAATGACTGTTTCACGTCAGCTGCTTTAGACTAAAAAAAAAGACTTTAAAGAAATTGATGCAAAAAGTTTCCTTTTAGTTCTAAAATGTAGTTAATTAATTTATCATTATAATTAATAAAAAAATATATAATAATTTATAACTGAATTATTTGGTTGTTTTTAAGACAAGACCGGCCATTAGATCACCAATTTTTTTGGTTTAAGACTAGATTTCTTATTCAATAAATTAGGATCTAAAATGATCCTTCATTGCACTTCACTCCAAAGTTTTGGCCAGTAGGATATTATCAAGGAAAAACCTTATTACTATAAAAAACTCAGCAGAGACTAATTTGCTTAAGTCTAAACACCTTCTTTACATATTTAATAAAAAAAACTTCTCCATAAGTTTAGTTTTTTACCCATTCAAAGATCATCAGGGCATTGATACTTCAATTAATATTTGTGATTAATATTATAGACTTTGGAAATTCCACAAACCAGAAAAATCCTCAAGATTCAAAGTAAATAATATAAAAAAAAGGACCCACTATGAAATCTGAAAATTCTTTAAGAGTTCATTGAAGATAAATAAATAAAAACCTATTAACTTGTAACCTCAACATTAACATTAGTGGATCCCTAGTGTGTGTGTGTGTGTGTGTGTGTGTGCATGTATATTTATATATATACTATGTATTGTAAAATACAACATTTACTACATGTATTGTGCCTATTTAAAATAGGCATGGAGTATGTAATATTCATTTGATAAACTCTTCTTGTAAAATACATACATAAATATACATATACATATAAATATGTTATACACACACTCATACATATGATTTTATTGTTTTTTATTATTTAGTACATATGAAAAAATGTTGGCCATATGTAGTCTTTAAATTAGGTACTATTTTGTTATTCTAAAGGGACTTTGTCCCAGAATAAAGTTATTTTCTATTTCTATGAGGTATGTTCAAAAAGTAAGGGAAATGTCATTTTTGAAAACAATTTTATTTATTCATCTACAATGTTGATCATCCCAAAATAGTTCAATCAACACTGCTTAAACTTGATCTTGGAGACAGCATTTAGTTCTCTAAGGCCCTTTTGCACCAACGTGTTAAGTTACCATAACTAGCTAATCCAATGTTAGACCTTGACCACATCTTTAAACGATGTTAAAGTATAACCTTACATATGGTTACTTCTAACAACAAACAAATCTCTCTTTATCAAATTATTGAAACCCGCCTGAAACTTTGAAAATAGCTTTATCTCATCATAACCTATAAATATTTAATTTATGAAAATTCTCAAAATTGGGGCATTAATAAACCAGCAGTAGAAAAACTTTGTCTATTTAATTGGGTACTAAAAACTCATAAATGCCCATTTGCTTTCCACTTGAATCATAAGATCATTTTCTTCAATTTTGTGATCATATCATCTTACGATTCAAGTGGAAAGCAAATGGTTATTCATGAATTTTTGGAACCTAATGAAATATACAAAGTTTGCAGATCTCCCGATTGAAAACGCTCCAATCCCTGAGGATTTTCATAAAAAAAAAATATTTGTAGGTTACGATGAGATGAAGCTATTTAGGAAGTTTCAGGCAGATGTTATTATTTGATAAAAAGTGATCTGTACCATAGACTAAAAGTTCCTTTACAAACTCCGGTTCTTGGTGTCATAAATAAGATGACGCCACACGTTAACTAACTAGGTTTAAAAATTATCTGGAGCAACTGTACCCAAATTTTAACTTTGGTTAAGTTTTAAAGTGAGTTAGTTAACAGAGAATGTTAACTTTAATCACAACTATTGGTGCAACTGAGCCTAAGTGTTAAGCTTTTAATCTCATCTATGCTTGAAAACGATGGCCTTTTAAGGTTTTTTTTTTTCGGAAAGAGAAAAAAATCAAACGGAGTTATATCAGACAAATAAGCAGGAACTTCGTAAGTTTTTAGTGCCTCATTAAATTAATTAATTAATTAAATGAGAAAAAGACCCATTTTTGAAATTTTTCAAAGATAAAAAAGTTGTAGGTTGTAGGTTACAATAAGATGAAGGTATTCACAAATTTTAAGAAATATGTTAATAATTTGATAAAAAGGGGTCTGTACTGCCAAATAAAAAGAAATATTCATCATTTCTAAAATTTAGTTACTTTTTATTCTGTTTTTGAGAGATAATTTAAAACAAATTTTCTGATTTTTTTTCCTGCAAAAATCAAAAATTGACACTTGTAAGCAAACACATACAGCCTTCTCCACAACTTGACCTTATGTGGCTACCAGATCAAATCCATATCCGAAGAACAACCCGTAAAATATAAACCTTCCCGCTACTTTTTTAACACACCTCTTATATATTTTGTTATAAAATAGTTCAGTCATACCCTCTCCTTCATAAAATACCACATCCCTGGAGATGGTTTTCGGTATAAACCATAACTGACAGCTGCCAAAATTTGAACAGGTACATTTAACAAGTTACATATATTTTCTATCTTTTTCTGAAAGCCACTCATTTTTTTTTTCCCACTAACAGTGCCAAGCCCTGCTTGGTTTGTGAAGATGACAATCTTGTAGTTATTAGAACATAGGTTTCTTAGAATATATTTTATGGAATCATCCCATAATACCCAATCATCAAAATCTTTTGCAAACACTCGGCCAGACTTTGTCTTAATCAGTGTTCCATCTAAATCAAAAGATGCAACCTGCAAACAAACAATAAACTATTTTTTACTTAAAGTAATTTTGCAAAAACATACTACATTTGTTATAATTATGTTTCATAGAATGCATATGACACCTTATATAATAAATATAATAAACATAGCACAATTAAATATTTTAAAAAAGACAAACTTTAAAATAATTATAACTTAAATCTAATGAAAATAATACTGAACCTTCTATTAACCATTACAAACAAAATTAAGACCTATAAAATAAATGTATTATATTCAATATTGAAAATTAGCATGAAAACTTACTTTTGCTCTGGATTCATCAAAACCTGGTGATATTCCCATTAGCAACTCCTCACTTCCACACATTTTCCAAAAATAAGACATTATTTTTGGTTTCTCCAAGCAACACTTTATTGTACTAAATGAAAATTTGTACAAAACTTTTCCAGGGACGATTTCGATAACGTGGTCAGATCTGAGAGAGTAGGTTTTGTTAATAATCATAAGCTTCTTCTTCCAAATAGAAGGGTTTTTCCCTACTGTTTTTACAGAAATTATTTCCTTAGAATAATCTGCTTTGACAGTCACTAAAATTAATAAACAAAATTGATATCTTAGGATAAAACTTTAAGTTAGGCATCTTTATTTAATCTATATGAAATAAATTGAAAAGAAAGAAATATTCAATCCGTGTGTCCATTTCTTCTTGATTGTTAAGTCATTTTTACAAATTATTAAGAAATCAAACTTTTTTTTTAGGAAATAATATGATCAAAACATCAAGAGTAAATAAAATGAAGTGAAATTTTTATTCAATTGGGATACCTCAAGAATAAACCAAAATTTATTTTTCTTTATGTGACATATACCACATGTCCTATGACAGTGGTATAAACAGAAAGTTACTTTACAAAAAGTCAGAGAAAATATTACAGTGATAAAAACAGAACACTACATCTTCATGATTTAATGTCATTTCATTTTATCTATTTATTTTTCAAAATAAAAATTTGAGGTATTTAAGAATATTAAAAAATTAGGGTGTGCTTTTTAGTATAAAAATGAGCAAGGAAGCTTCTCAAAAATTTTCTTGTTAAATAGGCATCTACTTGTACAAAGGGGAACCCTAAAACATAGGAATTTTGTCATGACTTCTTTATTTCTAAATATTTTTACACAAAATTTTGATCGTGTTCAAAGTATTCTCCCTTGACCACAACCCACCTCTCCAAACAATCCTTCCATTGTTCAAAACATTTTTAAAATTAATTTATCAGGATGTTCTTTAGGCCTTGCAGCAATTTTATAGTACCACGATTCATCACCAGTAAAAAAAAAAAACCTTGGAAAAAAATACCTTGAAAAATCACCTTGGAAAAAAATTCAGGGTCCCCTGATTTTGAAGCTCAAAATATGCCTGAAGTCGATGCTCCCTTTGGTGGTGAGGGACAAATTTGGATGCAACTCTTCTCATGCAAATCTTAGGGTAAAATCCTCTGGATTGAACTCCATGATATTCCAGACATCTTACAGAGTTGATCAATGGATCGGCGACAGTTTTCACGAACGAGAGCATTGATTTTGTCGACATTTTCGACACTTCTTGAGGTTGAGGAGCGTCCTGCATGGAGTTGATCATCAATTGACATTTCTGCCTTTTTAAAACGTGAAAACCACTCGTAGACTCTGGTTTTACTTAGGGCAACATCCTCATAAGCAGTTTTAAGCTTTACAATAGTTTCCGCGGCCGATTTCCCCAACAGGAAACAAAATTTCACAGCCGCGTTTTGCTCTTGATTGAAAAAGTACACCATAAACACAATAATTAATTAATTATATACAGGAGGACAAGTCTTTTCATTGAATTGTATTAATTATATTTGTTGGAAGCTTCGGCAAATGTTTTTCCTTTCATCAGAAACATATTATTTACAGTTCCACTGTCCTTTTTTTTTTTCAACGATAATATATATAAATATAGAAAGAAACAAACAAAAACGGCTCTAACGATTTTGATTAAACTCAGTATATCAGTGTTAAGCATTAAGCAGTTTTTAATATAATGTAGGTTTTATCCTTATTGATATTCTCTAATAGGGCTTAAATGGCTAATTTTCAATATTAGCTACCTCTTAAGTACCTTTAATTTTTTTTATTTGAAATAATTAACCATTTCACATTTATCTTTGACACAATAATAAAAGGTTTAGCGAACATGGAGGTTCGTTGCCAACACCACCAATTGCTTATTACACACCTCCCTCCACCATTTGTCATCCAAACCCAGTCCCTTCAGATCGGCTTTAACGCAATCTTCCCACCTTCGCTTTGGTCTACCTCTCGGACGTTTACCATTCGGTACAGAAAATATCAATCTTTCAGGAATTCTTTTGTTACTAAGCCCAACTATTTTACAAGCCCATATGATTCTCCGCGATATAATCACATCAATTATATTAACTGGATACGGTTCACGCAACTTCTGAACTCTCCGGTTAACTCATCTTTCTTCGGTCCTAATATTCTATGCAATACTTTATTTTCAAAATCCTTAAGATGTTGCTCATCTCTTAATGTAAGCGGCCACGTTTCACACCCATAAAGGACTGTAGGTAGGATAATGGTTTTATAGATTCTAGTCTTTAAATGCTAGGGACAAGATGCGCGAGCTAAATAGTTTTGTCACAGAAAAATAACAAGCATTTCTTGCTTTCAGCCTAACCTTAATCTCCTCTTCAATTTCGTTTTTCCTAGATATCTTAGATCCTAGATACTTAAACTTCAATACCTGTTCAAACATGTTACCTTCTATATCAATATTACCAGCGATTTCGCCATTTTTGCAGCTAACAATATGTTTTGTCTTATCCGTGTTTATTTCGAGCTTTAGTTTATTTCAATCTTTGATACAAAAAATAGTTAAACATAAAATATGAAAGAATTTGATAATTAACTAAAGCAGAAATAAGAGATCGTCATGGACAATAATTGTATTAGAGAAATCGAAAGAATACGAGCTAGCCCAAGCTCACCCGAAAGATTACAACAGGCTTCCATACGTAACACGAGCTTCATATAATTTGGCCTCCAACAATATTATGTTCAAATAAATATTCGGTTTTCATAAATACTATCATTGGTATTATTTAATATTTAATTATATAGAATACAGTGACATAAAAATTAAAATTTGTATGTATAAGGTTATTTAAACAAATAAAAATACCCACAATGAATTGTAAATAAATATAGCATCAATAATTTTTGCTTCCACTTTCCCTTTGTTTGAAAATACTTATTTCTACTAAGAATAGGGTGGTAAGTGAAAGTCGTGTGATACGCACACCAGATTTTTATATTATATATTTAATTTTTAAAAAACCCTTGCAGGGATTCAAATATCCCTAAATCCAATTATCCTAAATAAATTAAATAATGGAAACAATTTTAATATCAAATAATCTAGTCTTGTTATTTAACTTGAAATACCAGGCAAATATTAAAAGGCTGTATTAATTAAAAACGATCAAAACTCTGCAAGATAAAAATCTGGCGCGATGCCCGCATCACACGAATTTCACTTACCACCATCTACTTTTCAGAAATAAGTATTTTCAGACAAAGGGGAAGTGAAAGTAAAAATTATAAATGCTATATCTAATTATATTTGATTGTGAGTATTTTTATTTGAATAAGTACCCTTATATATACAAATTTTAATATTTATATCGCTGTAATCTATACAATGAAATATTAAATAATACCAACAATAGCATTTATGAAAACGGCATATGCATATTTATATAATGTCTGAGCGCGATTATATTTAAGCTCATATTACGTATGGAAGCATGTCCTAATCTTTCGGGTGCTCTAGTATTCCTTTGGTTTTTCAATTACAACTATTCTTCATTACGATATCTTATTTCTCCTTTAGTTAATTATAAAATTCTTTCATATTTTATATTTGATTATCTTATATATTAGAAATGAATGTGAAATGGTCAATTCTTTCAAATAATAAAAATTAGAGGTACTTTAGGGGAAGCTAATATTGAAAATTAGCCATTTAAGCCCTGTTAGGGAACATCAATCAAAATAAAGCCTACATTTTATTTAAAAAATGCTTAATTTTATACTAATGTAATGAATTTAATCAAAAACTTTATAGCAGTTTTCGAGAAAATCGTAAAAATGTGTTTAGTCCATTATACAAAGTGCTACTTTCGGTAAGCCGATTTAGACGAAAAAGTTGCTGTAACATCCCAAGCATATAAAAACCTTAAATATGCAATTTCACTTTCATACGAAATGTCGTTTTTTAATGGTAGACTGTTAACACACACACACACAATCATTTTGCGGGACTTGGTTATTTCAACTCAGGGGACCGCAAAACATGTGTTTCTGTTAAAAACTCAGATTCGAAAATGTTCACGATCGCAATACTTTCCCTTACTATATATTTCATATATAGATAAGCGAAAGTAAAATTAATATCATTAAATTTAAATCTAATGTTTTCATTGAAAAATATTTAAAACTAGGATGTTTAATTTGAGATGAGTTGGCTGTTGGGATAACAGAAGCGAAATACGGAAGCAGAAATGGTAAAATAGTACCTTTAGGTCGTGAGCGAGTAAAAAAAATGCTTTGGTACATTCCTTCTTAAATTTTATTATTTTTATTTTTCTTGCTACGAATTTTCAAATCCCCCTAAGGATTCTCAGACTTTTTCCTGTTCTACTTGTCGTAGACACTCTGTGTATTATCAAGTCCATATTAGTACAGTAATTTAATTGTCAATATCGGTTGTTTTAGAAGAAGAAATTTTGAAAACAAGATATTTACACTGACATAATGAATTTAATGTGTTTGGAACTAGTGCCAACTATACTACTATTTAAATTAAAATGATTGTTTACCTTTCGTAGCATATGCCTGGTAGTTAAGTGACATTTAATCATTTTGGATTTTAGTGCCATACATGAAAATTTAAAAACAATTCAGGGGCTCCTAGGCTAACATTTATTAGAAAGTGATTATTTTGTAAATGTACTTCAATAATAAATGTATACTATACACATGTCATTAACATACATTTACTTTATACATACAAATAAAAAAAATCACCATCCATCTACATAAAATATATGAGTGACCTCATATCAACAATGGGCATCTGTCATTTTCACAAATTGGAAAAAAAAAGGCAGTTTTTGTTTTATAGGTTCGACTCGAACAGTTTCTGATGATTTTAGTTTAAAATGTTTAAGCTAATTCATGCCAAAAATTTCTAAGAATTGGTTTAAACTGAAGCTGTGATAAAAAAATTGACTTTTACTCAACTTTTTAAAAATGACAGATGTTCATTTTTGATAAGAGGTCACTCTTTTACATAATGTATATAATTTAAAAAAAATAAAAATACAAATGACATTCCAAGTCAATGATATTAAACAAAGAAGGGAGTAGTATACTGAATAAACAGTATATATGACATGATTTATAAGGTTCATTGAACACATAGTTACCTTGATGTCTTGAACAAGTTAGATCAGAAACCCCTAATTCAGTAGATCTACCGATTTTGAATTCTACTCCATCAGGAAGAAAAATACTGTTACCAGTCAGTGAAACTGGAGTCATAAAACATTTCTTTACACTCTTATCATCAAGTGACATGATAGCTCTAATGATTCAATTAAAAAAGGAATACAAACATTTTATTTAAATTGTAAAGTAAATTATCGATAACAATTATTAGAGATAAATCCAGAAAATTTTGAACTTACATAAAAATTTTTCGAGTTCAAAAAGAGTACACAACGTTCTAGAACGACTAAGTTCATAATCATATATTTCGCTTGACCACTGGAGGAAACATTTTAAAGTTAAACAGTGACTATTTAAGTTCACTGTCATCTATTAATAGATGACAAAAATGAATGTGTTGAGTGATTTAACGTTTATAGTTGAAGCGACTTAATAGGTAAACATACTAAGACCTCGACCTGATCACTGTTGCATCGTGGTGATGAGTGCTGGAAAGGTCTCTTTTTTCGGGTTTTCTCTTAAACATCGAAATAGTGAATTCGTAAAGAAATACTCGTTCTATCTAAGTGGAGCTGACAAAATGTTCTCTATTAATATCACTAATCATTATTTTCGAATCACATTTTTCGGAATATCTCAAATTGACGATTTTCAGAAAATTGATTTCGCCCTCAAGGTTTTTGTCAAACTCCTTTCGTTCTACAGAAAAATTCATTAGATGAAAGTCGTAAAAAAATTTTTGTGACTTAGTATTACTAATTATTAAAACAATTATTACAGGTAAATGCACAAAATGTTATACATATTTTTCTAGTTTATCTTCACTGGGACGGAATTACTGTTTTTATAAATATTGTGCTGTATTTCGTGATGGCGAAAAACTAAACTTTATTTATTCATAAAAAAAAAAAAAAATATTAGGGAAGGAAATTTGCTCAGCTTCAATTTTGGAAAGAAGTAGTAAACTAGTGTTTACTAACTTCTTAATAAATAACAGAAATAATATAAATATTGTACACTAATTATGTAATATCTTTACACGATATTTTTTTTGTATGCTTTATAAAAGGCTTCGGTTGACTTTCGGAGCAAAATTTAATATTTGAGGAGACCCTTAATTTCTCTCTACGCCCCTGATGAAACTACAGAAAACGATTTAAGATGATAATTCATACCTTTTAGTATGAATAATGACAGTTCATACCCTCAATGCTCACCCGTAGTCAATAGATAAGCTTGTGAAGTAAAACAAACCTTAAAAATTTAAATATTACGTTAAAACTACGATTGACATTGATAGGCAGTTTTGATAATTTATGATCATACCGACTACTCGTGTTCTTACTTGTAATCGGGTGTAATATACATGATAAATTAAGCAATAGGAGAACGTAACTTTACTTCTTTCCTTCTGTGATATTATATCTATCAATCAAACATTATTTGAAAAAATACTTTGAGACAATGCCAAATTTTTATTTTGTTATTATTTCATTTATTTTTTATAAAATCGTGCAAATTAAACAAAATGTGTTAAATTAAAAAAAAATTAATTAATGGACGTCAATGGACTTTTAGTCAATTAAAAAATGTCCGCCGTACAGGTCATTATCAAGGGCATACGCCGCTTTCATATTGGAAGGGGGCAAGACGGATTTTTTTTTTTTTTAAGTTTATTGTAGTTACAATCTATAAATATTAATTTCACTTACATATATATGTAATATATAGTAAGGGTAAGTATTGCGATCGTGAAAATTTTGGAATCTGAGTTTTCAACGGAAATACACGTTTTAGGGTACCCTGAGTCCAAATAACTAAGTCCCGAAAAATGGTCTGTGTGTCTGTATGTTAGCAGTCTAGCTCAAAAACGAAAAGTCCTACGAAACTGATATTACGTATTTAAGATAGGTGTATGCCTTAGATGTGCCAGCAACTGTTTCCTTGAAATCGGCTAACCGGAAGTGCCACTTTATATCAACGCTGAAAGACATTTTTACAATTTTCTCAATAACGGCTCCAACAATTTTGATTAAACTCGGTGTATCATTGTATAATTAAGTGGTCTTTAATATCATTTAGGTCTTATGACCGTTTGCTGTCATTTCACAGGGATTAAATTCCCAATGTTCATATGCGTATTCCTCTGAAGTACCTTCAATATGGTTTGTTTTAAATAATTAAATATCTCTCATTATTAAGAGTTACGAAAAAAATGCTAAATATAACTTTTGAAAAAATTTGATAATTGGATAAAGGAGAAAAAATAAAAATGCTTAGCCAGGTCGAAAATGAATCTCCGGAAATACTAGTCAGAAAGTATATGTATAATATATCAGTGAAGAATTTTAGAAAAAAACAATATCTAATATTGAAAGTTGTAAAAGGTAACAGAGTGGCAAAAAAATAAGAATTTTTAACAACATTTAACGTAAATCACATGTTTTCAAGAAATTAAATGAAATTTACTGACTAAATGGAAACTTTTAAAATATTTTTAAGTTTGAAAAAAGTATTTAAAATCCACCTAATCAAGGCAATGACATTGTTTAAAAAACTATTTCATTGTATTTATGTGAAAGAAGAAGTAAAATATAAAATCATTTTATGGGTGTATAAAGCATATGTTTAGTTTATAACTTTAAATACATTTACTGCAGTTTGATAATTGTAGATCTGATATTATATTTAAATAATTAGGTATCAACGTCCGTTTATTCAGAAATATTGTGATGTAACTTTTTAGAAAATTTAATTAGTGAATAATTTTATGAATCTTTCCTTTGTGATATTCCAACAGTATCCACTACTATTTAATTGTACCTGTGTGAAAGAAGAAGCAAAATATAAAAATATTTCATAGATACGTTTATAACCTTAAATATATTTACTGTAGTTTAATAACTCCTTTATTTTTAATAAAATGAATTGATTTTTTTTTTAGATAAAATTTATTTTTACTAAGCTGAAAAAAGATAATTTTAATTTATATAGTGTTTTAAATATAAGATTTATTCACAACATTCGTGTATGTATGTATATTACTCCGGAAACCAAAAAAAAAAAAAAAAAAAAAGGAAAATGTAAAAAAAAAGTTTTCTAAAAATTATTTATTTGTTAGATTAGTAAATTATTTATTTATCCAAGTAATAAAATACTAAATCAGTAAGAAATAAACCTATAAAAATTTATTACAATGGGAAATCTCTAAACAAGTCTAATATACTGCCATTATCACTGTTGCCCCTAGAATGTTGCTGTTATATTATCTTTTAAGTTCTTTCACACATTTATTAAAAAGGTTCTGAAAGTTGAATTTAGTTCGTACATAGTCAGAGAAGATAACACGACATTCCTGGACCGTTTAATCAATAATTTTTTATTTCATTAAACAAACTTTATTTTAGTCACATGTTAATTAATTGAAAGAAAAATATTATGTGAATGATATTTATGGAATATTACGGAATGATTTGAATGATATATATATATATATATATATATATATATATATATATATATATATATATATATTCAAATTTCTAAATCGACAATCTTTAAGTTAAGGTTTTGCAGTCTAGCTACTATTGTTAGTTTCTACCAAATCGGCTTTGGACATAAGCTAATTAGAAGTCTTGGCCACAAAAAAAATATATATACATATGCTCATTGTACATTTTTCTAATTTTCTGAACAAATTTTCAAATTTAGTTAAGTGAAGTAACGAAATTTAGTAACGGTGAGCAATCAAATGTTTTGGAAGGAGGTGGAGGAAGATTCTTGCGCTATGGATCTTGGGGGGGGGAGGGGGTGGGCACCCCTGCCATTTATTACTAAAACTGGCTCTCAAGATTTTGGCGTCAATTATACCTACATTATTATTTTTGTTCAGACAAATTCTTGTTTCTTATTACACCTATGTTTAAACACACGTGTAATGCCAATTTCCATTAAAACAATCACTATGGATAATTTGACTTTAGTCCAGGTAGATAGAGTGAGATAACCAACTGTGCGACGTTTCGACTTAAGTTTCAGGTGTAAGTAAAGACACGATAACAAATAAATAATAAAATAATGGACAGTAATAATAAGATATAGGTGAAGTAGTTTATTAAACTAATATCTAGGTAGTTGAAAATAACATTAATAAATATGTGGAATGGAGTATATAATACAGTGTTCATATATAATATAATATATACATTATATATATACATATTTAATATAATACCCCTAAGGGTGGGGCAACCGAGCCAAACGGCCCGGGACGCCGATCTGGAGAAGCAATCGTTGACGGCACCGGCCGATCTTCAAGAGGGTTTACCACTTGTTAGAATTTAAATAAAAAATACAAAACATGTTAAAATAATTGATGTTAGCTTACAATAAAGCAGTAGTATTAGAGAAATATTGAATGAAATAAAATTCAAATTACATAATATATAACAGCTTAAGAAATAAATTAATTTTTTTAGGGCGATGACGTCATTGCTCGGAGGCGCCGAATGTCTAAGGCCGGCATTGATATGATATATAAATTATTTTGGAAGTTATAAGGTAACGGTAACAAAACCGGGACTCATAACAGTAGCGAAGTCAGGATGTATAAAATTTTAAAAGTTATAAAATAAAAGTGATAAAGTAAACAATAATAAAATGACGGTAGCAATTTAATGAATTGAACGAAGCAATGCAAAAAAAATATACCAATCGTAAGTGGTAAAAAATAAAATAATTAGGTTGACGTCGATGCTATAAGTTGATGTCAAATGTTCAGAGGAAGGAATACAGAATAATGATGAAAAAAAAAATATGAAGTGAAATAAAGAAGATAATAAAAGTAAATAGAACAAATAAGATGCAGTGAATGAAATCTATCGAAAAATGTCATACAGATAAAAAAGAATTGGAATATTAAGTTATAAATGAGGAGTTGGTCAGGGGATGCGGTCAAATAAATACCATATATTATAATAGTATTATATTAATTAGCCTAACTACTATTTTATTAGTAACGCCTACGCGACGTAACTAATAAAATACTATTTTAATTGAAGAGAAGAATGGTTGGGGTGATCAGTCAAAATAAAATAGTAAAAATAAATTATTGTATTTATTTAACTATCTCCACGCCATTAAGTTATATAAATTAAGAGAATATGAGTAACCGATAGTCAGTTATCACTGCCGACTTTCGGGCTGAAACTCCCCCTCCCCCTTCTCCCAACGAATGGAA